AGGTTGCAGCAGCCACCTTCGATAGCTTTCAAATAATGACAGAACATCCCAACTGAAAATAAGAGATATAAGCTACAGGCAGGCTAATGCAGCCAACAAGAAACTGTGCTGTTAAGCCTCATCTTGAGGGTGTGTTTTGTTTTTTTTAGCTTTTTTTCCCCATCTTCCCTTACTTATAAATCTGCATTTTTAACTTTCATACAACCTTGAATCTTGGCAAGTGATACAGCATTCCTCATCCCAGACGTGGTGAATTTTCGAAAGCACGGTTCTGCAACATCTTTCCCATAGCCCAGCTCCAGATTAGGTTACTGGCCCAGTACCCAAAGCTTACAGCTGCCAGTGTAGCTGTTTAGGCTAGTTTGAAAGGGGCTGCAGGGCTTGGGTGAAGAAGAAACATCTTCTAAGGACCAGTAGTATCTGGACAAGTTCCCTGGCATGAAGCAAAGTAGTAGAAAACACATGTAATCCCTGTGCATATTTGCAACAGTGGTAGCAACAGTGGTGTAATCAGAACAGAATAAATGCTGTGTACATGTAACTCATAATTCCTCCTAGAAAGAGAAAAATGGGATTAGTTTTGGGTGGAGAGTGGCACACAGATTCAAACGGCTTAGTTACAGGTCTGAGGGCTCTTTGAATGTCATCTGCTGAACAGGGAGTGTTTGCCCAGAAAAGCACAGCTTCATTCATATGGACATGGATTTGTTCCCACACTGAGACTGCTATTTTGGACAAATACCATTTTAGCCAAAGGAGAAAAAGCAGCATAAAACGCAAAGGGGTCAGGCAAAGGCAGCGTCCCGAGTGAGTTTGTGTAGTACATTTGGGAAGAGAGTTACACTACTACAAGAAAAATTGCTGAGAAGAAATTTTGTTTGTAAACCAAGTAAATAAAAGCACGTTAGCCTGGCCAGCCCTTATGCAGCACAGCTTTACAGCTAGGGTTAAACACAAGGGAAATTGTGCTGATAATCCAGAAAATGATGATCTCTGGCAAGCAGCCAGAGTCAAAAGTAAAGTCTGGTGATCACCAGTAGCTAGAAAGACTGTTTGACACGTGGCAAAGTAGTGGGTAGCAGTTCTGTACCTTGTGACTCTCCAAAAAGTTTGTGACATGAGGCAACCATCTCAGACAGACAGGACATGTAAATAGACCAAAGTGTATATTGTTTCATTAATCAATATCTGGAAGGACATTGCAGGATGATTTTAATTTATGCAGTAAGTAGTTTCAAAAGTTCCAGAGTAAAGTTTGAAGTATTTGCTTGGTACAGATGTTGCTCAGAATGGCTCTAAGACAAACTCCAATGTTCGAAAGGTGGGAAAGAAGCCACCCCGGAAAGAGACTCTAATGAGGGACCTTTGTTGGGACCTAAACAACAACCAGTGACCATTTTATAGTTGTGATTGTTGCTGCTAGATTTCAAAATCCATAGACTATCTCCAGGAGTTGCTATTCATTTGTGGTGTCAAGTCTTTGGAAGAAAAATTTCTTGAAAGCTGGTTTTAGTCTCCAGCTCATCTTACAAGAGTCCTACAATTTTGAACAGGTTTTTCTATTTTTGGTTCATGTTTCTAGTCTTTTGTTTGTTAAAGAAACAATAAGGGGCCTCCGTGGAGCCTCTTACAAGCATTGAAAGAAGAGACGTAAAGGAAGAAGGAAAGTACTTAGAGTTTATGAAGACAAGGTAGCAGAAGCAAAAGGATTCACATGCAAAAAAGAAAATTTAGGATCATAACAGGATGAAGTAAAATAGCCCTAAGGTCAGACCTAGACTGAAAGACAAACACACTTCTAGATAATTATAATGATAATGAAAAGCACTGAAAACCAGTGAATTTAATGTGACTGCTTACAGGTGGGAGCCTATGTTTCATATGACTGCAGCCTCAGGGCTCCTGTCACATTCATAGACAAGTCTAACACTGGCAGCTGAAGCATTTGTTGATCTTGCAGCTGAAGAGGATGTTACTTAGAGTAGTCATGGTTTACAGCCCTGCAAATAAACACAAACCACCATCGATTTCAGTTTATGCTCATATGACAGTTCCTATAAATTATGCAGGTCAAGAGACACACATCTCTCTGGTTGATCTTGCTATGAGGGAGCAGCCTTCAAGAGATGTTCGACATTGTAACCACGCCAGCCATCCCACTCCTGTGAACATGAGCCAGAGCCCTTAGAAAGAAACCCTCTGAGGTAGAAACCGATTCTTCTGAGTCTACAGTACACAGCACCGAGGGCAGAGGGGTCTCCTCTGCATAGGACAGCCAGTTAGTGCTGCAGCATTGAGAGGAAGAGAAAACCAGGGAGAACGAGCCTTATTGGGATGAAATACAGCAACCTGTTGCAACTAACCATAGTTTAGGCAAAAACATTGCTCTCCTTCCCCTTACTTTTGTATCAATAGCCTTTATGCTTGAAAATCTGAGGCTGTAGATTTAAGACAGAAAAGTAAACTAAATCTTATTTGTTCAAGAAGTGAAATGCCAGGTGGAGAAAGCACTGGCAACATGCCTGACGATGCCAACAACAGGATAAATTACACACAACAGCTCTTATCAAAAGGCAGTGAAAAGAAAGTGAAGGTCTTAATGTTAAACTGCTAGGTAATCCACATGGTCACTGAAATTGCAACCATTAGTAGCTAAGAGTCCAATAAACTAAGGATCACATGAACAATGGAGTAGGAAGGAAGCAATGCAATGAAAGTATAATGCTGTAAATAAGCTCTCCAGGCAAGCAGGGAGCTGCACAGGCCCCTGGACTGACTCAGGGAAAGTGAGAAGCAGCCTTGTTCATGTAGGGATTAGTTACTGGCCCTGTCCACAGAGCACACACCTAGCTTTGACCTTGGATTTACCATAATGGTGTCCAACCATCAGTCTTAGCATCTCACATTGCCATCCATCACTGCAGCATGTGAGAAAAAAGTAAAGCGTTCAGTGGACTGTGACCTGCCTGTTTTACCTCCACTCAGTGCTCCTGCTTGGGGCATGGCTTTTAAAGCACTGGTAAGCTGCATAATTCAAACTTTCGAGTTGGAAAAGTCTGTTTTAACTTTCCTCCAGCAGCTATAGACCGAAGCAGCTATAGGTGACTAGAAGTCACCTCTTAGAGGCTTCCAGCCCTAAAGCACTAACAAGGCTAGGGGTCTCAGGTGGGTTTGCTTCATCATCACTATACCCACTCACCCATGTACAAGAGCCTAACCCTGCTCCTCGTGCCCCTGCACTACTCCGACCTGCAGTCAGTGGTGAGCACTCGCAAACATTACCACACTAACGGTCAGCCCTAGAGGGGACCCATACACGTGAGGGACTGGAAGGCTGTCCAGACTAAGCATCGTCACACGGAGTGCATGCAAGGTGTGCAACCGAGGAGCACGCCGCAGCCTCCCTCGTGCAGACAACCTACCTCTTGTTTCTTGCACTGGCGGTCTCTCTTGTCTGATGAGGAATAACTGTTCTCACTGAAACTGAAAGCAAGTCTCCGGCCTGACACGAAGACAATTATACTCCCAGGAAACGGTGTGATTTACTTTGATATCACTAAAATAACATACTTCACTCTTCCCTCCCTTTTAGATTTTTTTTTTTTTTGCTTAAGCCCAGAAGAGTAACTTACAATAATGCTAAACTGTATGTAGGTCATGAATAAGCTAACAACTAGAATCAAAGCTGAAGTGCAATCAGCACACATTTGACTAGGAAGAGCTCCACAGAGAATTTTTACCTATAACAAAAATAAGTCATTCACTTGAGAGGAAGTAAAGAGCTACATCTGTAACGTGAACTGCAGCTTTTTTTGCTCTGATGTTTTGCAACCAAGTTATACTGATAGAGACACTGCCTCTGTCATCAATAGTACGGCCTTAACCTTTCTCTCAATATGATTTTTGAGCTAATTTCTCATTTGCAAAGATACACATTAGGGTTAGTGCAGCAAGTTAACTTCAGCTAAAACAAAAAAGCTTCTACACCTGCCAGCCTCACTTAGCGAATCTCCTGCTGGCTTCTGTGAGACCGTTGTTTGTGTCAGGATGCCTGAATAGTCATGTTTTCGTGGACAGAGAGAGAAGATCAATGCTCTGTGGTGAAAATCTTCCTTCCACACATGGCTAAAATGATTTAATCATGGGCTGACAGTCAAATTAGTATCAGACATGGGGTAAGGATGGAAGAGTCCTTCTGTTGGAGTAGCAAGGACCTGGAGGAGAAGGAGTCATTTTTCTCTGTGCTAGGGAAGATGCTTTGAATATGTTTCATGTGGTCAGTTCTCTACCATCATAATGTGTGTTAGTCTCTTCTCTTTGCATAGTGTGGCACATATAAGTTTAATCAAACAAAAATAATGGTGCTCAGTAAAAGCATATCTAGGTGAAACCTAATGTCCTGAGATATATAAGGTTCTAAGTGATGCAAATCCTCCATTCTGAGTCTTACCCTCTCCAATTTTAAAGGCAGCAAAGACCATTATTTTCATTTACTATACAACAGGTCAGAGAACAACACTCATTAATTTGTTCATCTACCTATCTGAGCATATTTCTTCCAGAGATAGTCACTTATGATGCAAAAACCCTTTATGATGGAGGCAAGAAGTTCCAGTGTTTCATGCCTTTACTGTTAAACCAAAATGCAGTCACCAACAACACCAAGAATAGAGAGAATACTGAGGAAAAGCAAAGGCCAGGCTCTCCCTTCAGATATTATAGAGAGAGAAC